CTCTCTCTCTCTCTTTCTTTTGCCAGACAGTCCCACATCCCCTTCAGCACGAACAGAAGTTAAGAAATAAAAGCGGCGCTCTGGTGAATGGTCCCCATTTAGGCTGCTGAAGAATGGGCGCTCTGTCGAGGGGCTGGGGAGGAGACCAGACGCACACACAGGCCGCGGTCAGGCTGCGGCTCTCGCACAGTTACAGAGAGCAGAGGCTTTGCTGCCCGCGGAGATAAAAACGATGTAAAAGGGGCTCGTGGCTATCCCTGCCCGACTGCCACTCTGGAAATGTCAACCTAGGAAATCCCGAGACAGTGAGAGGACAGCCATCAGGACAACATGAGCTCACTGCACTCGTGACAGTCCTGAGCCCAAGATTATGCATCTTTCCATCCAGTTCTACACAAAAACCAAACCCCTTCCGCTCCTCTGCCTGCATGCTTGCATTACAGGATGTACTTCTTTACACAGAGAGTTGTGGGAGTGTGGAACAAGCCACCCTGTCATGCTGTTGAAGCCGATACCCTGGCCTCTTCCAAGAACTTGATTGTTATTTCAAATAGCTACTAACTACCTAACGGTCTTAGCTGACCAACTGATCTGCAAGACTAGAGAGAAATGGAGTGGAGATCCCTGAGCTAATCGATTCCACGATCTCCTTCAGCCAAAGGAGTCACCTCTTTACGCAGAGAGCTGTGGGAGTATGGAACAAGTTGGCCAGCCATGCTGTTGAAGCTGATAATCTGGCCTCTTCCAACAAACGGCTGTATGAGATCCATGAGCGAATAACAACGCACGAGCTAGATGGACAAGAAGGGTGTCTCTTCTGCAGAAGAGAAAGGAATTATTATCGAGAGCAAAATGAAAGGAAGGGAAGGTTTATTTTCAAAGAACCTAGTCAATTTATCAGCTGCTCCTAATATTCTGTCCTGATATCACACCCCCCTGGCTAATGTAAGCTACTGCACATCTTTCCAAAAACACACTATCTACCCCATAAAGACACACATACACACATGCACGCTGGCACTTCAGTGTTCCCAGAGCGACCGGGACACATTTCCTGCTCAGCTCTGCATGCGCTCCGCCCTTCAGAGCCACTTCACACCCCCTCGGCTTGATGTATGCCGGCGCCGTAGTGATGGATAAAGGAAGGGGAGAAAAATAGTCCCCCCCAATCCCTCCTTTGTATTGAATCTGCCTTTTTATTATTTCGCCTTTGGCTCCCCCCGCCTCTGATTAAAATGCAGCGGTGGCTGTGTTCCTTCCTTTCTTTTATTTCCCCGCTTCTGCGAGGACACAGGAAAGGACTGTGTGGCCCCCTTGTTGCAACGGCGCCCCCACAGGAAGTGGACTCACCCTGTGTGTGCGCGCGTTTGAAACCCGGGCGGAGGAGCAGGGTGCCAACGAGCGCTGGAGCTGGAGAGAGGGCTGTTTGTGCTTTTGTAACAAAAAAACAAGATGGGGGGATGGGGCGGGTTATGGGGAAAGGACGATGACAGCACTCCCAGAGACGGGGTGTCATGAGACAATTCCCGTGGCTTCCTTCCCCAAATCCTGCATTTCTCCCCACCCCCCTCAGTTCTGCTCTACCTCTTTTCCTTTCAGTCTCCAGCTGTCCTGTCATTCTCTCTGCCTACCTGGCTGCTTCCGGTATTGAGAGGTTGAGACCGCCAGGGTCGAGCCCCGGGCCTGGGATGGCTCACTCCCAGGGGAGAATCTCCTCACTTTTCCAGCGTCTTTCACGGGGAGGTCACGTTCGCCAAACCCTGGCCACTGTCCCCAGGCCAGGCCTCCTCTGCAAGCAGGAATTTCCTGAACCGGGGCCTGACAATTAGCATAGTCACCTCTGCTTTCACCAAGGCCTTGTAAATCCTATCCTTTGTCAAAGCCGGTGAGCCTCCCAGCACTCAATCCCGAGTTAATAAAGACCGACCTCCCCGACCTTTCCTTGACCTCAGGGGTCACGCTCTGACTAGTCGCTCGTTTCGGAGAGCGTGTGCCTGGGAGCTGCCCTGTCACGCTGAGGAGGAGGTCACGACCTCTGCTTGATCCTGGCGAGTCCTGCCAGCCCTCCCTCATTCACAGGGGGTACCCCCCCCCCCTCCCTGCGTGCAGAGAAACTTTCACCCTTATGTTTTTGGAATTTATTTTGGACAGTGTGTTCTGCAATGGTGGAATTTTATAAATCCCTGAACGTAGTTCTCAGTACCACCCTCCCTGCTCATTTGGTCCAATTTATGAACTTTTTTCCC